GATACAAAAACCCTGTTTAAAATACTGAACTGCTAAGGCAAGACTAATGTTAACACACTTAGATAAATATCATAAAAAGTAAGGTTGGTAAGTTACTGTAGTAGCTGGAGTACCTAGGTTAAAACATGAATTTAAATTGATTTGTATTTGGAACAAATAAAGAGTTAAAAAAAACATGGTTGGTCACAAAGTGTGCAGATAGTCCCTTTCATACATGCCCACCGAGAAGTCAGCGATTTTTCTAAATGTAATTTGGAATTCAAAATTCACACTGGAAAGAAATCAACAAAATCATTACAAAATGAGTACAATTTTTGTTAGATGCGCGGATTCCGGTCCCACATGCATTGCACCAAAATTTTCAAAATCTAGATTTTGGCTCGAGTTCCAACGTAGATTACGAATACTTCATAACTTCACAATTTCTAGAATTTGACGTAGAGTTACAAAAACAAAATAGAAAACCATGCCACAGATTTCAAAACTGATACCAATTTTAAACAAATCATTCTATACTATGACCCATAAAATGTCTAACTTCTACGGTTCGGACAAACTTGGATTTTGATGTAAAACAGTCATAACAACCTGAGATAATTATATTTCCGAAACCCCATAAGAAGCCACAATACCATTGCCTTAATCTAATCGAGAACCCGTCCCTAATAATAGTACAGACTACACACATCCGACACTCACCTTTCATTCACTTGTGCGGGAAAAAGTAACGTCCTTCTGTCCACTCCTGCGGTTATTTGTCTATTTCTGACCGTCCAGCGCACGTCCCTTTTTTTCTGCCTAATCCATCGATTGTGTCGCCCCGAAGTTCGACGACGACGGACGCCCCACTAATAAGTGAGATTATGCACTTCCACGTCTTCTTCCCTCTTGCTTCCTGTATAGCTTCTCTTTCTCCTGCGATTGCGATCACTTTCTAAAGACCGATTATCCACGATGAAAGCTGGACTCACCGCACGCGGGAGGTGCTACTTTAATGATTATTATTTTCCTCGTTGCTTTTCATCACCTTCTATAAATTTACCACGCACTTTTTTTTTCATCCACGGATCTCGGCTCTACATAAATATGCGAGGGAAGCACACGAACAAGCAATTTGTCACATGCGACTGCTGCCAGGATGTGTTCGTAGGTACGCGAGAATAACCCCGGAAAATCAACACTGAAAATAAAGAAAGAAGAAAAACAACCATGGAAATCAAACCTGTTTGGATATATTTACACACATCGTAGAAGGCGACGGCGACGATGTCGATGGCTGCAGGCGCCACCGCCGGGAAAAACGTGAGTAATTTAGGTGAGATTTGCAATATTTATTATTCACAACACTGGGACTGCTCGTCCCGTGCAAATATGCACGCACGCACACATCCACACATACAAGCATTCACTTATGCACCCATTCACTCATACATTCAAATGAGCTATGCTTTCGAGCTCACCGCCGACTGGGACCTTACCTAAGAAATAATTTTCCACGCAAAACACACTTCGATCGGATTCTGCCGTCACTCGATTAGGAAAAATTACGTTTTCACTGAATTGCAATCATCAAAAACAGCACTTTGATGGCCTATTCTGTCAATCCCCACGCAAATGGTCACCGGCTGCGGAGCTTTTTCTCACCGAAAAGCAAGGATTGCAACAATCCTCTCTCACTCTCCCTCACTTTGGGCAGCGATTTTCTCACTTCTTGTAATTCACTTCCCTACACTGGCTGCAGCTTTTCCCTTATTCAGCAGATTACCGAATGGCAAAGTAATTTTTTCTCCGCCTGTCTGGATTTAAATTTTCGCTTGTAATTGCAAATTTAAGTTCTCACCAACAAAAACATTCGCTATCGGTCGCAAACTTTGATCAAACAAATGCCACAATTTTCTCGCTCAACCCGTCTCCACCGTATACCGCACTTACTACACACACATACGAGCATAAGCCATTCGACCGAAACACTTCTAATCGATTTTCCTTCAGCGCCACACTTCCTCCCTTTTTTTTACATTCGTGTGGGGATGCGTTTGAGAGATATTTCCCACTAGTTTTTTTTTTCTTCAATTTTCAGTCAAATTATTCCGACCACCGAGATTGATCCGTTCTCAGAAGGGGACAACCGCCACAGTCAAGAAAACTTCAACCAAGCGATTTCCCTCGTCGAAATTCGCAGTCTCAGCTCGGTCAGTTTGTTTAGGCGTAGGAAAACACCTCCAACCGATGAGACCGTCGGAATTTTCCCATAACCAATTCTTCAGAGTTTTTAACTTCAATCCTCGTTCTCCGTCTCCCACAATCAGACAAGCTCAATTTAATCCAACTTCAGAAACTTCACACAATCCACCAAAAAACTGAAACTTGTTCACTTGAAGCGATTAGAGAAACACGGGGATTTCGTCGCGAATCGCAGCTACCGAACCGAACCGACCGTGCGCCAACCGATGACTGACTTCTGGCGAGGAATCGCAGCAACCCGAGACTCCCCCGAATGGCATTCTACACGGAGCTTGCTTGGATGGAGGAGCCGAGAACACGAGACTGCTCCAACGCTCTCAAAGCTTCTCACACGTTTCTTCGGTCACGGGGAGCGCGGGGGTGGCACGCGCACCTCTCGGGTTTTTTATTATTGTTTTGATCCCACGTTCTGTGCCATCTACCCTGGTACTACCTGTAGTAGTAGCCATCATCGGCAGCAGCAGCACCACTGCCGTACGCTCGCTCATTCATAAAGAAGTTGCGTGAGAGACGATGCTCTAACATGGAGTGTGTGGGTGTGTGTTTGAGTGAGAGAACGTGTGATGGCACGCGACGCGCGCCCGCGCATCCTCTATCTCGGCTGGGTACGGAACAGACACGTGTGGAGCGATGGAGAGCAGTAGAGAAGAGAAGAGAGAAAATCGCAGCCGTCCAATCCACTGGGAAAAGAGAGTGAGAAAGTTTGTTGGTGTTGATGGGAGAGAGTGATTATCGGAGAGTTTTTCCAGTAGGTGGTATTGTTTACCAAAGTGAGATGCGAGAAAAGTGGGTGGTTGATGGGGTGATTTTTGACGGGAGCTTTTTGTTAGGGAAAAGAGGGGTGCGATCAGCTGTAAGCGTAGCGGTATGCATAAATTCGTGAGCTTTCAGTTTATGTTTAATCTCCGGATAATTTATTCGTGCAAAGTAGCGTACTAATGGAGTGTATTTGATTAATTGGATCCAGGTTTCATAACTCGTCGAGTTGAAGGTCAGAGTTACAGCATTCCCTTCATGCGGTGGGTGGTACCGGTTATTTCTCGGTTGTGCTTCATGCAATTACGTTGGTTTATTGTATGTGTCAACCTTAAACTAGTTATCTACAGAAAATCAGCTCAATTAGTTGAATGATAGCCGAGGCATAGAGGTGGGTGGACGGTACCACCCTCCTCATATATGAAGGGAATGCTGTAACTCTGACCTTCAACTCGATGAGCTATGAAACCTAGACCTAATTATATATATATATATATATATATATATATATATATATATATATATATATATATATATATATATATATACAGCAATTCCATAGAAAAAAGTTATAGTGGGTCTCAGAATTTCATGAAAATTGGTATAGTTCTTCCTTATCAAAAAATATTAGACTCGTATTTTTTTATTGCGCCATTAGGTGACCATTTCCGTGTTAGGGTGGTGCAAAAAATATTTTTTTTTCAAAAATGTCTTTTTTCAAAAATTTATAACTTCTGAACCTCTTGACCGATTTTTACGATTGACCCTTCAAATGAAAGATGTTTTAATTGTGTTTTAAGAAAAATTATGAAACACTCAGAGATATTTGATTTTGTAGGAAAAAAATATGTTACAAATGCTTTTTCTTGATTTTCACTGCGAGGGTCTTGAACAACTTCTTATTTTAGTATTTTTAATTGAAAGATCATTTAATTTTACATAACATTTTAAAAAATTAGCGATGTCGGAGAAGCAGTTTTGGAGATACATTTTTTTTAAATAAAAAATTATTGTTCCGCAATATATGCACCACACGTGCATGGAAACGATGAAGACGCAAGGTAGTTCACAATGCGTCTCCATCGAGTCACAGCTGTGACTAATGAAATCTATGAGTAACTTACAAGCTGGGTGCAACATTCAGTTCAACCTGCGGGCCGTCCATAAACCACGTAGACCAAGTTTTAAACATTGCAGATCCTACCTTTCCCTTCGTATACTCAAATTTTAAAGCGTTTCGTTTCAATACTCCTGTCATAGGGCCTTTTCCATGACAAGTTGCGAAAAAATGCCACACAGCAGCAATGCCAAAAAAATTTTGCATGTTGCATCAGTACCTAAGAGTCCAAGCTGTACCTCATAGGTATATCACTCGTTCGTAGGCATAAGCTCCAGCCCAATAGGCTTCGCGGTGTTAGTGACATTTGGAAATGTTTGGTGGTGTTTGTATTTATTCGCAATATTCATCTATTTACCTGAAACAGCTGTTTGAAGTGACGTCATTGCTTACGAACAGGTAATATACCTATGAGTTACAGCTTAGACTCGTAGGTATATCACTCACTCGTAGATACGATATAATGCTTCACATAAAACAACGAATGTTATGAAAGAAATGATCAGTTAGAAATCAAAGTTTCCTACTAGAACAGTTGAATTGAAGAATATCTAAAAATGAAACGTAAGTGTTCAATGTGTGATGTTTGGATGTTGAGTTCATGTGCCAGAAAAATCACTAATAAATTGTACGATTATGCAGTGGAAAAAAAGATTAAAATAGATGAGAGTAGCTCCTTCATTTGTCAACGATGCTACCACAAACTATATGAACCCAATGATGCCGTGACCGAAGAAGCCGTTGCAGGACCATCCAGAATCGCTGCTGCAGGTACGTTATTTGAAAATTCATGTGATTCTTCTTTAAATTTCAATTCTTTTCTTTTAACTACTCACTTAAACTCTTCTTTTTTTGCAATCATTTTTCAGAGTCCATCGAAGCAACCAGCATTGAATCAATTTCCGTTGCGGGACCGTCCAGAATGGTTCCTTTTCCCTGCCAAGGTAAATAATAAAAAATAAATCATTTGTATGTTTTTTTTTCTAATAATCAATCATTTTTTATATTTATTTTCAGAATCAGTGGAAACAACCAGTTCTGAATCGATCGTTACCACCTACAACGCACCTTTGTCGGACGAAAATGAATTCCTTATACAACTTAAGGATAAATATAAAGAAACAAGAGACAGCAATGAGCGATACAGGATTTTAACCACACTTCCCAAAAGTTGGTCTACATATAGAATTATGAAGGAGTTCAATGTTTCCCAACATATGGCCAACCAAGCAAAAGCACTGCAGCAAGAGAAAGGAATAATGTCGGTGCCTGTAAAGAGGTTAAGCAGAGCTTCATTAGGAGAACCAACGATAATGCTTGTTCGTGATTTTTACAATAGTGACGATATAAGTCGTGTTTGTCCGGGGAAAAGAGATTATTTAATATCTAAAAATGATGAAGGCGAAATCTACGTACAAAGAAGATTAGTTTTGTGTAACTTGCAGGAGGCGTACTCCATCTTTAAAAATACATATCCTGATATTAAAATAGGATTTTCCATGTTCGCCAGTAACCGTCCGAAACACTGCATTTTGGCAGGGACAAGTGGCACGCATACCGTATGCGTTTGTATATATCATCAGAACGTTAAACTTATTTTTAAAACACTACAAAGCAGACAATCACTCCCAGATGGTGTTGATTCCTATCACGATTTGTTTAAAAAAATAATTTGTCAAAGTCCAAGTGTACAATGCTGGCTGCAGTGTTGCAAAAATTGTTCAGGAACGCAAATTTTGGCCACAGAACTAATGACTATTCTTAGTAACGGACATGTTGAATCAATACAATTCAAACAATGGCGTCAAGTAGAGAGATGCATTATGGACTTAGTTGAAATGGACACACAGGAATTTATTGATACTTTTTTAGAAAAATTATTCAATTTATTGCCGCATAACTTTATAGCTGAGCAACAGGCAAATTACATGAAACACGTCAAAAGCAATTTGAAAGCTACAGAATGCATCATAATCTGTGATTTTTCAGAGAATTATTCATTCGTTGTGTAGGATGCAGTTCAAGGCTTTCATTGGGCGAACGCCCAATGTACTATTCACCCTTGTGCTATTTATTTTTAAAGACGAAGAATCTAACGATTTGAAATTTACTAGTTTTATTGCAATTGCTGATTTCACTAAACATAATCATGTCGCAGTTCGTTTATTTCTTACGCATTGTCTAGCGTTCATAAAATGTAAATTGCCAAGCTTACAACAGATTTACTTTTTCTCAGATGGATCAGGAAGCCAATATAAAAATAAGATGACCGCTTTTAATTTATGCAAAAAAGGTATCTTCCATTTAATTCCATTTTTGGTATCCATGACAGATAAGTATTTCGACTACAATGTGCAGTCTTCATCAGTGTCATTCCCACTAAAGATCTTATCAAAATCTAACCCCCTTAAGTACTCATCCCCTAGGTAAAAAAAGTCAAGATCATAGGTATAAAAATGAAACTACAATGTGTTGAATCGGAACCTACCTAACTAATTGTTTTATTTAGCATTCCGCTAACAACCCAATTTCATTACTTCATTATGATGGCTACCAAGCCTTTGGGGATTTTCTTTATTAGAGAGTTGTATAGATTTTTCTCCTTTAGCTTACTTAAATCTTTGGTTTTTATTAGTTAGGTAGGTTCCGAACCCAAAGGGGGAGTTTGGTAAAGAGAGATGAAAAAACCGATTTGTACCTTCCATAAAAGTTGTCCTAGCTCGCTGTTCTAACATCTATATGCAATCTTCACACTGCCGTACTCTAACGGAACTATCAACTCTATGCTTTCATCTACTCCATCTATCGTATAAAAATTACCACAACAGTCTGTTATTTGAAATTAGCATCTTCAACTATAAAAATTTAAACTAAATCGTACCTAGTTATAAGATGAATTCTAATTATTAATTATTTTGATGGACATTTGTTCTAATGTCTCAAGGTACATCGAATACCTCGGTCGCATTGTACCAGGAAGGCAAATCATCAGAACTTTGTTCTGAATCCTTTGAAGTCCTTTTTTGCTGATAGTGTAACAACTAGACCATATTAGCAACAATCAATACAAAACTAACGATTTTAAATTGGCTCACTACTTGACTAGCCTATTGGTCCCAAGCAAATCGATTGACGTACCCCATTCTAGTCGAAATTCAAGTACTACACTATGTTTGTTTTGATTTGCTATGTAAGTTTGACAGTTAAAATGAGGGGTTCGTGGATTTTCCGATGTTTCGAGGGGTGCATCGATTGGCTTGGGACCGAAGAGAGTACCAGAGCTGAGCCAAAAAGTTGAGCTCGTTTCTTCGGGACCTTCTGGTCTTAGAGTTACCTCTATGATATTAGTACAGCGTAAAGCATGACCGGTTTTAAAATTTTGTTTGAATATTAGAAGTTTATTCCTGAGGAAATGTTTAGATTTCCTGTTTTTAAGGCTATACAAACATTTTATATATTTGTTACATTTGGCTTGGATGCCATCAATGTGATCTTTAAAAGTTAATTTTGATCAAGTACTAGTCCAAGAACTTTTATTTGGCTTGACCAAGAAATCCAAATTCCATTCAAAGTGACTATGTAACTATGGTTTCAAAAATTTGAGCCTAGAGTTTTGGACGCGTTAGGAGAAATCTTCCATCAGAAGAGAAAATATCTAATCTTTTTTGCAGTCTGCTGCAAATAAAACGAAGACTTCTTCCTTTAAATTATGCACTTCCACGACCGAAATCAAAAAGAATATCGGCCTAAGAATGCTACGATGCTACCCAGAGGAACTCCAGTTCTAACAAGTAGTCGATCAGATTAGGAATTTTGATAATTTACCTGCAAAATTCTGTCAGTTATGGAGGGTCATGTTTCCGGGGTTTGAAAAAGTCCCGAGATTCAGGATTTCATTTTTCGAATTCAAATTTAATTTAATTTATTTTAAAAGTGCGTCCTAGAGTGCGTCTTTCGTTAGACGCTCCAAAACCATATGCACCACTTTAGACTACTGTGCTAAAAAATTATTGCACAGTAATATTTTCGCACAGGTAAAATAATTTAACTGCATTTCATAATTCTGATACTTTTGAAGAACATGGCACATTTTGGACTTCAAACAATTATCTGCATTATGGAGCATAATTTGGAAATTAGTTACGATCTACCTAATACACTTTCTAAATTCTTAAAAAAAAATATTTTGTTTTTCCTTCTGCTTTCTGCATTTATAATAAAACGCTTCTTTCTTCTTCTTCGCATTATTGCTAGCTTATAGCTTATTGCATATCGCATATTATTAGCTTATTGCGTGCTCTCAAACTTAATATTCGCTTTCGATGCCTGTACCAGTTTTGCATTGGTATAATTGTGTGGCAAGTCCAATCAGACTTCTATGCTCAGGAAAGTCGAAAAATTTTCCAACCCGAAAAGAAAAATTCATAGACCGAACCGGGAATCGAACCCAGCCACCTCCAGCATGGTCTTGCTTTGTAGCTGCGCCTTACCGACTGAGCTAAGGGAGGCCCATAATAAAACGCTGCACCTCAATTAATCATATTGTCAAGCAGTTTTGAGACGGCATTCCAGCAGTGATTTTACATGAACATGAAGCAATGAACATTAGATTTTTAAAGCTCAATAATGTCCGTGAATAAGACCTTATTTCCTGGGCTAGGCTAGTCTTTCACATTCTTGGACACAGCGAGAGATTTGTTAAATCAATAATTGCGTATTTTAACGATCTTAGATTTAAACAAAAATCATGGCAGGCAATTTTGAGCATATTTTCAAAGAAACTGTGAGTAGTGTTACAAAAAAATTTAAATAAATTTCCAAGGAAATATTAAGGAGAGTTACAAAAGAATGCCAAGATCCAAGAGATCCTCTTATAAGAGCATTCTGAGAAGAATTTCTAGATTATTCTGAGGAAAATTCTCATGGCATTCAGAAATGAAATCCAAGGAAATTGTGGGAGAACACATTTATAAATTCAAAGTGGCACACCAAAAAAATTCTGAGAAATATTCAAAGTGTATTCTTAAGAAAATTAGGGAGAGAAATTACAAATTCTCATCATAAATTAAGAGCGTGTTTCAAGAATTTGCTGGAAAAAAATTCCTTAAGTGTTCTGTCAATTCTTGACATATTTACAAAATTATCATAAGAAATAACTTAGTAAATTCAAATATTGAAAAAAATTCAAGATTCCGTGCACAAAAATTCAATATCAAGGATTAACACAAAAGTTTGAAGATTCTGAGAGCAAAATTCAAGATCCTGGTCTTTAAGACGGTCTCTAAACAGGTCAAGATTATGAGGCTTAAAATTTCAAAAAATTCAGAGTTGGTTGGAAATGCTAACATGAAGCTTTAGTGTGATGATTTATTAGCTAGAGAATGATCTTTAGAAGAGGGTAGGTGGATAGTTCCGTTAGAGTACGGCAGTATGAAAATTGAATAGAAGTTGAAAATGAGCGAAGGACCATTAAAGCGACAGTTTTTTCAAGATAGACGCACATTTTTGCCTAACCCGTACGATGTACGCGGGGACTTGAAGTATGTCTCCAAGTCCACAGGCAAAAATGTGCGTCCCTCTTGTTGCTCATTAACTGACTGCGGCTGTGGAATAGTTCTAGCGACGTTTTCATCACTCAGGGGCTATTCTGCGCGGCGTGTGAGGTGAAGTGACAGTGAAGTGATGGTGAAGTGACAATTGTCACCTCGGGTGAGGTGACTCTCCATTTGATTTGCACGGAGAGTCACCTCACCCGAGGTGACAATTGTCACTTCACAAGTGAGAGCGTGTCACCTCACCTCACACGCCGCGCAGAATAGGCCTGACTAGAGTCGGTGTATAATGAGTCACGCCAAGAGAAAAACAGTTGAACTCGCATCACGGTTTTCGAAAGATTCCCTTTCTTTTCACTTGGCAACAGAGGACTTCTGCATCAACTTCAAATGACTTCTAGCGAGGAAAAAAAGTAACGGCTGTAGTAAATCATTAAATTAGTGATTTTGTCAATTTATCTTAACGAAAAATAGTAGAAATTCTCACTAATGACCATTACAAAACGTATCGCATGACAAATGTAATACTCACTGCGTGTTTATGATCATTTGTTCGATTATATTTTATGTTTAATTGCAATACCTTTCGTGGACCTTTCATAGCATCGTAATGCTTGTTTACTTTGCACGATAGGTAGCCGGTTTGACAGTTCAATAGGTAGACTTGGCTTCACTCTTGGCGTGACTCATTATACACCGACTCTAGGCCTGACTACCTAAAGCCCCACGTTGCGAGAGCATTTCCAGTCGATGGTGTGTTATAATGCAGTTCTTCTTTACCCAACTATTGTGTTGTTCCTCTCGTCATGACCAACGTGATCATCTCATGCAAAAATGTGCGTCTATCTTGAAAAAACTGACGCTTTAATGGCCCTTCGCTCTTTTTCAACTTCTATTCAATTTTCATACTGCCGTACTCTAACGGAACTATCCACCTACCCTCTTCTAAAGATCATTCTCTAGCTAATAAATCATCACACTAAAGCTTCATGTTAGCATTTCCAACCAACTCTGAAAATCGTTAACTTCGCGTATGAAGTAACATAAAAAACACTTTGAACTCAAAAAATTGTAACAGACAACAGTAAGTTTTGTGAAATATCAAACTTGGAAAACGTACACTCATCCTTGAAATGGAAAACAAAAAATTTAAAATTGGTGACTTGTTAAGTTTTCAAGGATCTAAAATCATCAAAAATATTAAAAATGCCTAACTCTGCTCTAATAAACTTGTATTGGTTATTTTACTAAACGACGTGTTTGGGGTATCATCCAAACCATTTGTGGAATAGCTCTATCATTTGGGATAACGTTCGTTTATGGTATTTTCGTATTAATGTGGGACATCGCTATTTTTTAGAAGTCAGCGGACTTATACCAACAGCAGCGTTTGACAGTAAAGGCAGGATGTCGCGGGCTCAAATAATATATTTTGCTGTGCTGATGGGCCCGCTGTCACTGTATAACATGTTGCCTACGCGCCTGCCACTGGGCTGCAGTGACCAGAACTGACGATGAGGGGCCCATAGTTGCTATTGTTTGTAAGGTTTCAATCAAATGACCAGTTATAATTCCGGGTAGTTGTCACCCTGATATCCGGTTTATCAAATTAACTTGTTGCAGTACCCTCGGTTTTTAGCAATACAAATTTCAGTGCCGAGATTTGTCATTGTCATTGACAGACTTTCGCGCGATATTGACAAAATTGTTCGTCACGTAGTCACTGACAGACTGATCCTCAAAAAAACCTTCAACAAAATCTCATTCATTTTTTCGTCAATGACAAAGATTCACCTGGTAACAAAAAGTGTAATTTAGTACATTCTGTGTCACATTATTGTTATCCAAGTAGCTCAGAACGTAGATACTTGTTCACTAAAATGGAACCATGTAATTGTTTTGCTCAAGTCATTTAATTTTGTTACAAATTTAGCTAATAAACAAATCTGCCCCTTTTTGTCACTGACACCATTGTCATTGACAATTGACATGATTTGCCTTGACTATGACTGTTAGCTCAAATGAGTGACCAAAGCAGAATTGTCAATATCACCGTGTACTGTCGAGATTTTGCAGCACTGAATTTATCCGTTATGTTGATCCCCAGTTTTTAATTACCAGCCATTTCTGACCCCTATAAAGATCGTTACAGTTACCTAATTTCATAAACTAAATTTAGATTCCAATTGATTTTAAAGAATGCACCAAGAAACCCAAAACCATGTGTTGCCAAAAACGGGATTGTACTGTACCACCAAAACCAAAATAATTAGGTCAGCTGTCCATTTTTCAAGTATGAGTTCAGGCATTTTAAATCCAAACATATTTTCTATTTTTTGGTGGTTAATAACAGCTTCATAAAATATGAACACAACCGAATGATTGCAAAAATACTGTGACAATTCTCCCAAAACCAAGACAGCAGACATCGCAAGGCTATTGCTTGTTTTAGAAAAAAAGATAATCCGAAAATAATGATTTGATTACAAAAACTTACCGTTGATAATTTATTGGCTTTCGTGCAAATGAGCATTAAGTTAAGACTAAATATTATGTTCGAAGGAAACTTTAATGGAACAGTCAAAGATTATAAACTACAACATCCCGCTTAGATCTTGTTGAAGGCAGCAATATCGACCGACTGGACAAAGTCCTCAAAGTCCTGGATCTTCTCCTGCAGCTCATCGACGGAAACCTTCTCGTCCTCGATAACGCAGCAGATCTGCAGCTTGAGGATACCGTAACCAACTGGGACCAACTTGGCGGCACCCCACAGGAGACCGTCCATCTCGATGTTACGGACGGACTTCTCCATCTCCTTCATGTCGGTTTCATCGTCCCAAGGCTTGACGTCCAGGATGATAGAACTCTTGGCAATAAGGGCGGGTTTCTTCGATTTCTTGGCATTGTAGGCGGCCAGACGTTCCTCCTTCAGCTTAGCGGCTTCGGCGGACTCTTCCTCATCCTCCGATCCGAACAGATCAACGTCATCGTCATCGTCGGCAGCTGCTGCCTTGGCAGGGGCAGCAACGGTTGGCTTGCCTCCGGCTACCTGTGGCAATGCCTGGCCTCCCCAAGCAGCACGCTCCTGTTTGCTGAACGAGGCGATGTGACGGTACCAGCGCTGAACATGGACAGAGTCTCCAGCTGGAGCCTTGCCCAGGGCATCGAACACCGACAGATCGGCCTTCGATGGTACGTACCTGCAGAATTACGATAAAATAAAATATTTTTAAATTAATGATCTCATCCCCGGTTTACGTGTCAATAAACCCTGGAATCTAATAATCCCATAACCTCAAAACATGCCGAACAAAAATCTTAGCCAAAATATCTGCTTACCCCTCGACGTAGCTGTGATCGGCCAGGAAGTTGTTCAGTTCCTGCAGTCCCTTGGGGGTCTTGACGTCTCCGAAAGCCATTTTTGTGGGTTTTTTACGTAAATTACTACAGATAAACGTCCGATCTAGGTACGAGCACGATGTCCAACCAGCGGCAGCAGAATCGTGAAGAGAAAGGCAAGGCCGGTGAGAAAATCGTGAGCGTGAGACGTCGAGGAGAACGTTTCCAAAACGTGAGAAAAAATAATCAGTGAGACGACAACAAAACGAACAGTGCGATGTTTTAGAATTTAAACGAAACGAGGGATAAGAATATTATATTACACTGAGGCAAAAAAGAACTTAAGAATTCTTACAATTCGACAGAGAGCATTCATAAGGGTCAATGTCGCATCATGCAAACTAGAAAATACTCAGAGGGAGAGATAGGCGGAGAAAACAAAATACAATTCGGCAGCAGGGATTTGTTCCTAAATTATCTTGCATCCCTTGCTAGGAGCTAGCATTTCAAATGACTTTTATTTTTGATATAATTTACGTGCAAAATAATAATTGATTGCATCGCGATATTTTGCACATTTCATGGTGCCATTAATTAACCAATGAAGATCAATAGGGCCTCCCTTAGCTCAGTCGGTAAAGCCGCAGCTACAAAGCAAGACCATGCTGGAGGTGGCCGGGTTCAATTCCCGGTCCGGTCTAGGAATTTTTCGGGTTGGAAAATTTCTCGATTTCTCTGGGCATAGAAGTATGATTGGACTTGCCACACAATTATACCAATGCAAAAATGGTACAGGCATCGAAAGCTCTCAATTAATAACTGTGGAAGTGCATCTAGAACACTAAGTTGAGAGCACGCAATAAGCTAATATGCGATATGCAATAAGCTTGAAATGCGAAGAAGAAGAAGAAGAAGATCAATTAATCAATAGAGTTAGAATATTGTTTTTGGTTCCAAAAACTAGTTGGATTTGAGAAGCACACAAAACATAAAAGTGATTGAATTTCTGTTCGATTGCAATACTCTCAAATTTATTCTAGTAAGAATAAGAAATCATCGGAAAAAAGTCTAATTGGAATGTTCGATTGGCTCAGATTTTGACAGTTTATTTGGCTCAAAACATTCTCTCCGCCCATCTCTCCCTCTGAGTGTTTCTAATGCAAACGTAGAAAAACGAGTTTAAAATGCCAACTTAAACTCATGCGCGCCTGGTGGCAGGAATAAGCACTAACCGACGGTGATAAGTCTGTGACAGCCCTTGAAAATTTCATTGATTGTTTGCAAAATTATTTAATTTCAATGTAATTTCATGAAAATTTCTTGTCAGCATGGATGAATCTTGTACAAAATGCATAAAACTATATTGTAATGCATTGTTCTTAAATAAAAAGCTACTTCAAGACTTATAAATTACTGAAAACATGTTAAGGTTTGAAATCATCTGCCGATTAAACAACAGACAAAGTTGACCGACTAAATCAATCGACGAAAAACTATTAAATAGGCCGATTGCTCGGTGTAGCACCAGACGAAAAACGATTTAATCTGCTCATTAATACACCGACTGAAATTAATTTTTAAGTGGCAATAGATTTAGTCGGTGGACGAATCGGGTGATCTGGATGATGTTTGTTTATTTGGAAGATATTTTCGAAACAAAGCACGATAAAATTCAGAATTATATACCATTATTACGAGTACTACTTTTTTGCTCGGATCATGTTTTGACTCCCACAGAAACTCGCTAGAATAAATACAAAATAATAGTTTTTTGGTTGAAATTTCAAAAATGTATTCAGTTTGACACATTATTTCGGACTTATCACCGCTGCGATTGCAGCGCCATGGTGGCCGATTGAAACTTGGATTTGTCAATAGGTTTATCTAGAGTCTGTGTATAAGAGTCAGGTCAAGAGAAAAATAGTGGAACTCGTATGTGTTATGAGTACAACTGCCGTGCCACCTTACTCATTCATCTTGGTTGGTGGCAACACTGTGAGAAGAGAAAAACAAAAAGGTACTGTAGGTGCCATTTTCATTCGTGGGCGAACATTCGAAGTGTTAACATCGTTTCTTAAATAAAGTTTCTTTTTATTGTTCGTGAACTAAACTCGGCCTTTCAATTCTGATGAAAACCTCTGACCAATAGGTTGTGGGCCCAGGTTATCGTGGAAAGTATCGAGTTTTGCGGTTCATCGTCGCGGAAAAAGTGGATTTTGCGAAGTAAACAAGTCGGGAGTGAACGTGTTCGTGCCTGCACTAAACAAGATGGCGGAATCACACATCTCGATTGAGAAGCTGAGCGACCAGAACTACACAATCTGGAAGTTCAAAATGCAGCTTCTAATGTCCCGTGAAAAAGTGCTGAAAGTTGTGTCGGAGCCGAAACCTGCGGAACCTGATGCTGTGTGGCTCGCAAACGACGAGAAGGCGAGGGCGCTGATCGGTCTGGCACTGGAAGACAGCCAGCTAATTCACGTGATGCAGACCACTACGTCGAAGGAAATGTGGGACGCTCTTAAGGGATACCACGAGCGGTCATCTCTTTCGAGTAAAATCCACGTCATGCGCCAGATGTTTGCTACCCGGATGTCGGAGGGTGGCAACATGGGAGAGCACCTGAAGGAGCTCACGTCGTTGCGGCTTCGACTCGCACTTGGTGAAGAAATGAAGGATCCGTCGTTCGTAGCCTTGATGCTGTCGAGCCTGCCGAAATCATACGATGGCTTGATCGTGGCGTTGGAGAGTCGACCAGATGCAGACCTCACGGTCGACTTCGTCAAAGGGAAGCTGTTGGATGAAGGCCGACGTCGAGCGCAGGAAGGTCTAGGAGAAGAAAAAGCACTGGTGTCGAGTGGAGGTAGTGAGAAGAGTAGATTTAAAAGTGAAAAGAAAAATGACAAGAAGAACGAAAAACTGTGCCATTATTGTGGTAAGGAGGGCCATTTTCGGCGAGACTGCCGGAAGTTGGTGGCTGACAGGAAGGAAAAAGCAGCTTGTGAAAAGGCAAACGTGGCCGTTGAAGCAGAAGATAGTGTGGATCTGTGTTTGTTCGTTGGGAGAGCTGAAGAAGCCGGGTTGTGGTACTTAGACTCTGGTGCCACTTCTCATATGACAAACGACGCATCTATCCTGGTGAAGCTGGACAAATCGAAGCAATCAGCAATCTCGTTGGCTGACGGCCAATGCATCAAATCGACTGGTGCAGGAAGTAGCAAGCTTGTGGCCGTGAACGGAATTGGTGCTCGTATGAACGTTTCGCTGGACAACGTGTACCATGTGCCGTCGCTCGCAACAAACCTACTTTCGGTGAGTAAAATTACTGATTTGGGGTTTCAAGTTTCGTTCGATAATAAGACTGGGTGCAGAGTCCTGAAAGGCGAAAATGTGCTGTTAGTGGGTCAACGTAAGGGTGGCCTATATCACCTGCAGCGGTTTCCGGAGTAAGCCAAGTTAGCGTATTCGAATCATGGAGTTTCCTGTTTACACCTGTGGCATCGTCGGCTTGGGCACCGTGACATGGAGGCGGTAATGAAGATTCTGCGGAATGATTTGGGACACGGTTTAAAAGTGGATCGTTGTGACGTAAAGTCTGTTTGCGAATCCTGCTGTGAGGGCAAGTTGAGCCGTGAATCATTTCCGAAAGTTTCATCTTCGAGAGCTTCAGTTGTTGGTGATTTGGTGCACACGGACTTGGGAGGACCCATGGAGGTGCCAACAGCGCGCGGTAGTCGATTCTTCATGACAATGGTGGATGACTATAGTCGTTATACGGTTATCTACCTGTTGCATAAGAAGTCGGAGGCCGAGGAGAAAATTCGCGAGTATTGTGCTTTGGTACGCAACCAGTTTGGGCACTATCCGAAAGTCATCAGATCGGATGGTGGCGGAGAGTATGGAAGTAAGTCTCTGCAGAAGTATTTTGCTGATCATGGAATAGTGCATCAACGGACGGCTCCGTATTCGCCTCAACAGAATGGGGTGGCCGAACGCAAAAACCGGTACCTCGTTGAGATGATGCGGTGCATGTTGGCGGATTCGAAGATGGAGAAGCTGTTTTGGGGCGAGGCGATTTCGACTGCCAACTACCTGCAGAATCGCTTGCCTTCGTCTTCGGTAGAGTCTACGCCTTACGAGCTGTGCTACGGGAGGAAGCCAGCGTACGGATATTTTCGAGTATTCGGATCGGAAGCCTTCGTACATGTTCCTAAGGAGAAGCGCCGGAAGCTAGATAAAAAGGCGGAGAAATTGGTGTTCGTTGGTTACGCGGAGGGGCAGAAGGCCTATCGGTTCGTGAATCTGGAAACGAAAGGAATCACCATTAGCAGGGATGCGAAGTTTTTGGAACAGTGCGATGTTGAGGTTGCCAAACAGGAGCCTTCGACGTCAGGAGGAGTGGTAGTGTCACTCGGACCTACTTCACCGCTCGAGAATCCGGCGGCCGGTACAAATAATGCCGAGGAAAGTGTTGGCGAAATAAATGATACCGATCTTGATGCAACGCAGTATGATAGCGCGACCGATGAGGAACCATCGTTCCGAGGTTTTCCTATGGATGAAATCGCACGCAGATCCGGTCGTCCGAACAAAGGAATCGCGGCAGTACGGTTGATTGAAGAGACCTATGCAACGGGTACTGTACATACTGCAGTTGAACCCAGGAATCTGAAGAAAGCATTAACCTGTAAGGAAAACGCAGAATGGAGAGCAGCAATGGTGAACGAGTTGAAATCACATGCGGAGAATGGCACTTGGGAGCTGATGGAGTTACCTGCAGGACGGAAGGTGGTAGGTTGCCGCTGGGTCTTCAAATTGAAGCGGAACGCAGCTGGGGAGGTGACCAAACACAAGGCGCGTCTGGTGGCTCAAGGCTATTCGCAGCGGTTCGGCGAGGATTACGATGAAGTTTTCGCTCCCGTCACGAGCCATACGACTCTTCGCATGATGCTTGCTCTAGCTTCAAAGAAGAAAATGACACTTAAGCATTTCGACATCAGAACGGCCTACTTATATGGAGAGCTTGAACAGGACTTGTTTATGCGGCAACCGCCTGGATACGAGGAGAAAGGCAAGGAGCACTTGGTTTGCCGTTTGAAAAGAAGCATATACGGACTCAAACAGTCCGCACGTTGCTGGAACCAAAAATTACACGGTGTTCTTGTGGACATGGGTTTTCAGCAG